CAAGGTCCATCGAGCCCAGTAGCCTGTCTGCCAACGGCGGCCAACACCAGCTATCCCAGAGGGAATGGACCGAAGACAATGACCAAGCCATTTGTCTCGTGCCATCCATCTCCAGCCTTCCGCAAACAGAGACCAGGGACACCATTCCTACTCCCTGGATAATAGCACTCCATGGATCCAACCTCCATGAATTTATCTAACTTCTCTTTAAACTCTGTTACAGTTCTACCCTTCACAGTCTCCTGTGGAAAGGAGTTCCACAGGTTGACTATTTGCTTTGTGAAGAAGAACTTTCTGTTCTTAGTTTGAAGCCTGCTACCCATTCCTTTCCTTTGGTGTCCTCTAGTCCTTATATTATGGGAACTAATGAAGAACTTTTCTTTATTTACCCTCTCCACACCACTCATGATTTTATAGACCTCTATCATATCCCCCCTCAGTCTCCTCTTTTCTAAGCTGAAAAGTCCCAGTCTCCTTAGCCTCTCTTCATATGGGACCTGTTCCAAACCCCTAATCATTTTAGTTGCCCTTTTCTGAACCCTTTCCATGGCCAAAATATATTTTTTGAGGTGAGGAGACCACATCTGTACACAGTACTGAAGATATGGCGTACCATAGTTTTATACGTCCCCTCCTGCTTCTTCCCCTGGCTTCCCCCTTCCAGCTCCCTCCTCCCAGGTTTCCCCGTTTCCTCTCCCACCCTCTTTCTTCCCCTCTCCCACCTCCTTTTCCCAGTCTCCCCAGAGGTTAATTCCCCTCCCCCCAGTTTTGTTAAATAAAGAGAGTTTCTATTTTTGAACACACGTGTCCTTTATTTTTTACATCAGGAAGAGGGGCTAGGGAGGGGTAAGTGGAAGAAGGTGAGGGAGGAATGGGGCACAAGCCCCTGATGGGGAGGACTGCGGTGGCTCTGCGGGCTCCTTGGGGTGGAAGCTCTCCTGCAGGGCCTCCTGGATCCTGACAGCCCCTCACAGATGGCAGCCTGTGGCAAGTGCAGCCGGGCTGATGGCCGAGTGCTGTGATGTGCCGAGTATGGGCATTCAGGGCACTCCAAGACAGGACTGCTTTGCTGTCTCTCATCGAGTTAGACAAGCAAGAGGGGAACCCTGAGAACTGTCTGTCCGGGGTGGGGGTCGGTTCTCTTTAAGCTCAGCCCTCGGCTAGCCTGAGGCAGTAGCTCCACACTCTAAGTCCTAACCTGATGCCCTGCCAGCACTGCTTCCGGCCATCCTTAACCTCGGTTCAGGATCCACTCAATGTGGACATGCTATTTTGAATTAGCAAAATGCTAATTCGAATTAATTTTTAGGTCTAGATACACTAATTCGAATTAGCTTATTTCGAATTAACTAATTCAAATTAAGTTAGTTCGAATTAGTGCTGTAGTGTAGACATACCCTAAGAGAACAGTAGAATGAAGCTTAAAATTAACTGCTAAAACAATTGCATTTAAAAAAAAATTTCCATTGAAGTTATGGTACATTTAAAAATAATCAGACCTCTCACTAATACTGCACCTTCATATCTTTCCTATATGGTTTTGGCAGGTTAATTATAGTGCCCAATTGATATTGTTTTGTCAGATACCCTTTATCATTTACTCCAGTTCCTCTTTATATAATATCCAGTGAATAAAGAAGAAGAATATTTTCCTATTGATGAAAATAAGCTGAAATGCTGTATATAATGGGCTAAAAATGCAGATATAATGGCCAGTTAGCCTTTGCAGCCCTCTCTCTCTGTTAAGAGTTTCATTAGAATCCTTGCTCTAACACTCTCCATGCCTTGACTGGGACCTGATCTAATGCCCATCAAAATCAATAGAAGCCTTTGCCTTTACTTCACTGGGCTTGGATCAGGTCACTGGACAGTATTGTCCAAAATTTGTTGACCTTTCCTTAGTTGAAAGTGAAGATTGAAACAAACATGAACTATAGAACTGATAAATAAACTCAACCGGGAATGAGTAAGAGTGCCACTGTTTGGAAAAACTTTTGACATAATTCTATTGACTAAAGCCCTAATTCAACAAAACACTTAAGCATGTGCACTGAGGTCAATGGAACTCTAGTAGGTTTTAAAGCTAAGAACACATAAGGAGTGCTTTTCTTATAGGAGTAAAATGGCCAGCAGGTATGGAACCAAAATCTTTCCAAGTATAGGGAAAATGCATACATCTTGGACAGCTACAGATATAGAAACCAGCTATGGAGGAAGAAACAAGTAACATTAATGTGTGGTCTGTAATCTACACCTTCTTAAAAGAAACACGAGGCCAAGTTTAAAGCCATGGCCACTCTCTAAGGACGTCAGAATCTTGTCCAGAAAAATTTGAAGACTGTAAAGACAACTGCTGCAGAATAGGAAACAGCCTTTGTTTTAAGGCAGAAAATAAGCTAACATGCATCTCTGAAAATATAACAAAGGCAAACATGCCCTAGATAAGCAGCTGTATAGTAATAAAGGCAGTGTATGCTGGGTAGTAAGACGAGTTATTTGCAGTGTTGTATTCATGCAGAGACAAGGTGGGTGAGATAATATCTTTTATTGCACCAACTTGTGATGGTGTAGGAGACAAGATACATAGAGCTTGTCATCAGGTTCAAAGAAAGCGCTCACTGTAGCTTGAAAGCTGGTCTCCTTCACCAACAGAAGTTGGTCCAATAAAAGGTATTACCTCAGCCACCTTGCCTTTCTGTAGTGAGAATAAAGAATTCGAATGAACAAGTTTAAGACTGGGAAATACATCTATGAGACTAGTGCAGGTTAGGGAGTGTCTTAACAATGTGGGAGGTAAATCTTGGAAAGAGCTTCACTCATCCATCCTGGGCTCTAAATTCAGAAAGTCGTGTTCCAGTGGGCACTGAGCTTAGTATAAAGCCCAGAAAGAATTCTCGGATAGCAGTCCCTTCTTTGGTTGTTCCAAAGTCCTGTTTAGAAATCTGCAGCATATTACACCCGCATCTCTAATATACACAGTATTATAGTGAATAAAGACTTTCAAGATACCTTCCGACTAGTACCTGGTTTCATAGACAAAAGAGTGGGTCTTTCAACTGTGATAACTGAAGCCCAGTTAACCATCATTAAGATGCAGACTGTCACCACCACATAGGAAATTGTACTAGCTGGCAATGTATTTGATTCCTCAGAGGCAGAAACACAGTCAGATAAAATGGTTTCAAGCACATTAATCTGCATTTAAACAGGATTTTTTATCGTCTTAAGCTGAGTGAACTAACATGATTGAAGAATATGGCCGCAACTACCAGCTGTGACAATTTACGCACTTACACATTTTTAAAATGCACAACAATTTAAGAAAGATTTGCAAAGCCACCTAGCACATTTGGCTTTAAATTTGAGGAAAATTGGAAATCCATGTCCCATAAGTGGTTTTCATAATCTTAGCCTAAATGACTAGAAATGGAAAATGGCCTTTCATACAGAAGAAGGATTTTATATTAATTCATTGTGGTCTAAGCAGTCATGGGCAGATTTTTCAAAGCCACAAATGGGAGCAAAAGCTTGCCTCTCACTGACTTGCAGTGGGAATTGGGTGTCTAGCTGCCTTCTGTGTCTTGAATAATCTATCCCCTTCTTTGCCAGAGTTTTTCAGTTACTTTTTTCTTTCCTGTTTCTTTTTAAATGTTAAACTTACTGGCAGGAGAGTGTGTTACTTTGTCTAAAGGTTTTAACTTGATCCGAAGGAATTCAGCCATCTCCTTATCTTCTTCTTGTTCTCTGTTGGTGCAAAAAGACAAGAAAACAAAATGGTTGTAGAAAAAAAAGCAGCGATTTCTGCATAGCTAAAGAGAAACAGTCCTTGTGTGAAGGCAAGAGTCATAAGAATCTTAATATCAATAATGCTGCTTTGCACTTTATTTAGCATTTTTCATCTAAAGATCTCAAAGTTCATTAGAAACTTAATGAATTGACAGAGAAATCCTGGCCCTATTGAAGTCAGTGGCAAAGCTCTATTAACTTCAATGAGGCTGGGATTTCATTCTAATGCTCACTACTTAACCTGAGAGACAAGTAAGTATTAGCCTCACTATGCCACTCATTCAGCACAGCATAGCAGTTAAGCACCTGCTTTGGTGAATCAGGGCCCATACCAGTAGACAAACCAAGGCAAAGAGAAGTTAAATGGTTTGAAAGGGTCACACAGCGAATCAATGTCAAAACTAACAACCAAACCCAATTGTCCTTAATCCCAATTCCCATCTTCAAATCATTGAAACATGCACCTTCTAGAAAAAAGTAGCAACTTAATATTATGATGTGCTATAACGAGGCTAAGATTTAGTGTTGGGTATTTTTAGTAAAAGTAATGGACAGGTCACGGGCTATAAACAAAACTTCATGGCCCCGTGACCTGCCCATGTCTTGTACTGTATACCCCTGACTACTAAAACTTGGGGGACGTCTAACATAGTGCATGTCTACACTACAAGCCTTTATTTGGAAATAATGTCTAGCTGAAGGACTTCTTACTCCAACTCCTGTAACCCTCATTTCACGAGGAGCAAGGGAAGTTGAAGGAAGAGTGTTCTTTCTTTGACTTCCTGCTGTGCAGACAGTGCCAGAAGCTGAATTAAGCTATTTCGACTTAAGCTACGCAATTGAAGTAGCTACAGTTGCGTAGCTTGATTTGACTTTAGCCCTGATGTGTAGACGTGTTCTGGGTGAATCTGGAGGTGCCACTCATGCTGGGGAAGGAGGATTCCAGGGCCCCTTTTGCTACTGGGTGGAGCCTCCAAGACACCCACTGGTAGTGGGCAGGGGAGGGCTTCAGGTACCAACTGTTGCTGATTGAGGTGGCATCAGGCGCCCACTGCTACTCCAGGGGGCATTGGGGCTGGGGAGAGGGACAGCTGGGGGGATGGCCTGGGACCCGGGGGTCAAGTGCACCAGTAAAGTGCAGAATTCACAGGCACCGCAGAAAGTCATGGAATCCATGACTTATGTGACATCCACAACAGACTCTCAGGCATACTAATAATTGATAATAACATGAACATTATGTAAGTGCAAAGACCAGTTTTTATATGTATAAAAAAATCATTCCTTGTTAGAATTCTCTTCTAAGTTCATTTCCCCCATCTAAGGTCAGGTCCACAATTAAAAGTGAAGACAACCCAGTTATGTCACCCCGGGGTATGAAAAACCTACACCTTTAATTAACATAGTTAAGCCAATATAACCCCCAAGCTATGTCTAGACTGCCACTTTTTTTCGGCAAAAGGTACGCAAATTGCACTCCACAATTTGCATACCTTTTCCTGATAGTATTGTTGGAAGAGGCTTTTCTGAAATTTGGCCCATCTACACTGGGCCAAATTTCAGAAAAACCTCCTCTTTTGGAACAGCCCTTCTTCCTTGTGGCATGAGGAAGACAGGGCTTCTGAAAGAGCATGTCTGCTTTTCCGCAAAAAATGGCAGAAGAGCAGATGTGTTCCTTGTAGACATAGCCCCAGTGTAGACAGGGCTAGGTCAATGGAAGAATCTGCTTCTCCCTCTCGGAAAGGTGAATTAACTTTCATCGACCTAGCTTCTGCCTCTTGGAGAAGTGGGCTCTTCAGCAACAGAAGAACCTCTTCCATTGCTGTAGTAAGTGATGTGTATTCTATAGAATGACAAGGGCCCAGCTGTAGCACCACAGCTATGCTGTGGTAGTAGTTTTGCTGTAGTCATAACCTGAGGGTACTTCTACACTGCAAGACTATTTCGGGATACCAGAGGTATCCCGAAATAGCTCCCCTGCGTCTACACAAGCCACCCATTATTTCAAAACATTTTTCAAAATAACAGGCATGCTATTTCACTGTCCCGGTAAACTTCGTTGCACAAGGAATAAGGAATGGCTGGAAATAGCACTTTATTTTAAAATTTGGCGGTGTATAGATGCACCAAATTTCAAAATAAGCTATTTCAAAATAAAATTGAAATAAGATATGCAATTTGCATAACACACAACATAGCTAGGCCAATCTATTTTTGAGGAATATAGCTAGGCCAATCTATTTTAAGTGTAGTTCAGGCCTAAGAGGGTTCAGCCCTGCTCTTTTTATAACGGTAAAGACTCTGATATTTTCTTGTTATAAATTCAAAGAGACACTAAACTGCTGTAGACATGAGCAGAAGATTAAATAAAATCATGGAACAGGGAGAGAAAGATTTAGTGATCCAGTCTGAATGCATTGCCTGTGGGAACAGAGAGGAACTTTTAGCATCATGCAATGTTTTAAGACCTAGAGTCAATAGAAATGTTGTCACTTCAAAGAGAGTAGTATTGGGTACTCTATCAGGCCTGACACATCTCTGAAACAAATTCAGGCATTTTCAGTCCTTACCTTAATCTCTCAACTTCTGCATCATCTACAAGAAAATCTCTCTTTTGCACCAGTTTATGGATTTTCTGAATCAATTCATCCTCCCTTTGTTTCTGCATTTTTGTTTTTTCTTTTTCTGACCAAAAACAGAAAGAGTTAGACAAGGGTTAGGTACTCAGATTTCTAACAACATTTGACCAGTTGAAGTCAATGGCCTTTGCTCAGATTTACAGTGGGTGAGAGTAGGGCATGATCCACGGTCACAATTTTTTCAGGCCATAATATAATAGACATTTTTTTATTTGGTAAAAATTCTTCCCTGCTTCTCCTGAGACTACAGAGAAGGTCAGGACAACAGTAACAAAAGGGAACTTTTTTTCAATGCAAATATATAAGGTTACTCAGTAAATTGTGGTGTTCTTGTGTTCATTTGAGATAATTATTGGCATTCCTAAAGGCCTAGCCAATCCATAAGCAATGGCCTGGAAAGGTGACCCCCAAGACAAGTAGATTGGCTACTACTGAAAGTCAGGCACTGCAATCTGCTCCATATTGCTACTTTGTGGGGAATGCTCCCTGCTACCTAGTTATTCTGACAGATTACTTCTCCTCTAGTTTCCTCCTGTCCCTAATCCTGACTTCAGTCTGTGCCTGCTCCTACTCTAGCACCAGCTCCAACCACAGCTGCTCGCCCAGATGTTCTGCCACTAGGACACTGAAGTGGGTATCAGGAGAGGTGTGTCTTGCTACCTGCACTCCCCATGGAGCTGCAGGGGGGTGTTGGACAAGTCATTGTTATGACTAGCCAGAAAACAGAAATCCCCACTTGTGAAAATCTTCATGTTTTGAAAAAATATGGTTCCCAAACCAGAACGAAAAGTTAACCGTTCAAAATTTCATGGCAAGAGATTTCCAGACCATTCTGGGAGAATTGCAAGGGAATTTCTTGACTACCTACCCAAAAGGTTCTTGACAATTTCACTTTCCCTCTGCAGGCAGAAAGAGAAATTGACAAGACCCTTCAAGACAAGCTGCCAGCCATGTTCCAAAAGCCACTTCCACCTGGCTGCTGGAGTGCCAGGATGCCCAGCCACCCAGCCTTTCCCCCAGCTAGAAATTAACAAGAATCTTCCAGGTAGGTGGCAATGAACCATCATTTCACTTTTCCCAATGGAAATCAATCTTTCTGCAAAATTGAAATCTTTTGACAAAATGAAATATTGTCGTCTTACAAAAAGTCATTCAAAACCAAAATCATATACAACTTTAGGGCAGGGGTCTCAAACTCCCAGCCCTCAGGCCTATCCTGGCTGAAACAATTGTGCAAACTGGCCTGGGACCCCAAGCAGGCCAGAAGAGAGGGAACTGTCCATTACCAGCCAACAAGCGCCGCCCCTTCCCCTGGAGCAGGCTGTGGCAGCTGGCGCCCCAGGCAGAATGTGAAATCGGTGCCCCCACCTGCATGGCCATCAATGGGGTGACATCATCATTGGGCACCCCAGGCACCCTGTGACATCATCATTGGGCGCCCCTTTGAAGGTGGCGCCTTAGGCAACCGCTAAGTCGGCCTCTAGTCACTGGCCACCCTTCCCCTTCCCACTGTCATCCTGCCCTTTCCCCCTCATAGCACCCAAGCCTGCAGCTTTGGAGATCACTAGGGAGCTTTGTAGTGGCAGTGGTCGTGCCCCACCGCACTCCCCAAGGCGGCAGGCGGTAAAGAAGAAGCTGGGCGAGTGTGCCCACCCAATTTGCTCCTCTTCCTCTGTGGCTACTTCTCGTTCAGCCAATCACTATGGGTGCGTCTACACAGCAGGGCTCAACTCAAAATAAGTTATGCAAATTGAGTTACATCAATTGCATAGTTTATTTTGAAATTGGGAGCGTCTACACAGCACTTATTTCGAAACAGAGCACTCTTCCTCTTTCTTCCCTTACTCCTCATACAATGAGGGTTACAGCAGTTGGAGTAAGAAGTCCTCCCGCCGGGCAGTATTTCAACATTATTTCGAAATAACTGCCTGCTGCATAGATGCAGGCTAAGTTATTTCAAAGTAATGTTGCTGTGCAGACATACCCTATCTGAAATAAGTTTGTATATGTGTAGAATTATGTACAAAAAGACCTTCAATCAAAAACAATGTACAACTTTAGAGCCTAAAGTCCTCTCAGCTGTCCTAGGTCTTTTTCATCCTATTGCTCAAACAAGTTTGGTTACAATTTTCAGGAGCTAATGCTGCCTGCTTCTTATTGACAGAGTCACCTGAAAGTGAGAACAAAAGCGTCTGCGTGACCCTGTTGTAGCTGAGGTTACAAGATTGTTACATGCCAGAAGCGCTAGAGTCATAGCCTCCCAAATTCAGCCACCATTCCAGAGGACATGCATCTATGCCAGTGTCAAAGTGCGGGTTGTGGTCCAGTGCTGGGTCACAGAATGTAAGGCACTGGATCGCTTTGCTCAGCACTCAGGGACCCTCATGGCCAGCTAAGGTTGGGTCTCAGCCCACACTTTGAAAACCTCTGTCCAATCCCTGCCTGTTCCAACAATGCTGCTCACCAGAAGTGACCAGCAGCAGGCCCATCTCCTAGGCATCAAGCCCACAAGGCTCTCCACACTTTCCCTGCCCCAAGCACTGGCTCCACACTCCCATTGACCAGAAACCAGCCATTGGAGCTGGGGAGGGTTAGTGCCTGCAGGTGAGAGCTGTGTGAAGCTGCTTGCTCTCCTCCACCTAGGAACCGGACTTGTTGCTGGCCGTTTCAGGGGCACAGTGTGGTCCATGGTGCCAAAACAGGCAGGATGCCTGCCTTCCCACCCCTGATGATGAGAAGCCATAGGAGGTAAGCTTGTGTCCCAATCCTGTGCCCCAATCTCCTGCCCCAGCCCTAAACCCTCTCCTGCACCCCCAAAGCAGTGTTCCCTATAAGCCGTGTGCAGCTACCAGCTTATGTACGAGAGATTGAGATGCTGCCCAGCTGATTAGCAGAGCACCCACAGCCAGCAGCATGTGTTCCTAATGATGGTGCACATCTGCACATGCCTCAGTGCACAGAACAAAATTTATTCTGCACATGGATGGAAAAAAATAGAGAGAACATTGCCCCAAAGCTCTTATCTCCAGCTCTATTGGGTCTCAGAAATCAACAATTTTCTTCAGTTGGGTCACCAGGAAAAAAAAAACTTGAAAACCGTTGGTCTCTGCTGATGACAGGTACTGCTCAACAAACATCCAAAGCAGAACAGACCAAAGCATGTTCACTTCCATCATCTGAGTCAGATGCCACCAGCAGAAGGTTGATTTTCATTTTTGGTGGTTTGGGTTCTGTAGTGTCTGCACTGAAGAGTTGTTTTTTAAGACTTCTGAAAGCATGTTCCATGCGTTATCCCGCTCAGATTTTGGATGGCACTTCAGATTCTTAAACCTTAGGAGAGTGCTGTGCCTATTTTTAGAAATCTCTGATTGGTACCTTCTTTGCATTTTGTCAACTCTGGTGTGAAAAGTATTCTTAAAACGAACATATGCTGCTTCATAATCTGAGACATTAAATATATGGCAGGAGTTCAGTAACACATGGAATTAACGCATTATTATTTAATGAGCAGCAACAGCATGGATACATGTCCTCTGGGATGATGGCTGAAGCCTGAAGAGGCATATGAACATTTAGCATCTCTGGCATGTAAATACCTAGCAATGTTACCAAAGTTCCATCTGAACACCTGTTTTCACTTTTCAGTAACATTGTAAATAGGAAGTGGACAAAATTATCTCCTATAGATTTAAACAAACTTGCTTGTCTTAGTGATTGGCTGAATAAGAAGTAGGACTGAGTGGCCCTGTAGGCTTGAAAGCTTTTCATTGTTTTGTTTTTAAGTGCAGTTATGGAACAAAAATCTACATACTATTTCTCATTTATTTCTATATTTCCACTATAAAATGATAATAAAAATAATATAAAATATGCACGATACACTTATTCTATTGTAATAGAAATCAATGTATGTGAAAATGTAGAAAAACATCCAAAACTAATAAATTTCAATTGGTGTTCTATTGTTTAACAGTGCAATTTAGTCACAATTAATTTTGGGTTAATTATATGAGTTAATTGCGATTAATCAACAGGTTTAGTTCAAAGGTAAAAAAACAAATGCAGCCAAGACAAAACTCCTTAGGGCTAAAACTAAGCAAGTGGAGCAGGAAGAGAAAGCTAGACGCTAATCCTAAACAACACATTTCCTTAAAGAATTCAATTTTTTTATGAGCAGAAAGAAAAACTTCTCATTAAATCAAAAATTTTTGTTTTCAGTCATGGAGCTATGGAACTGATCTCAAAGAAACATCAAATTGAGTCAAGTACACTGAAAGTCATTGGGACACACCTACAGTGTGATGCAGTCAATATATTTTATATTTATTGACCAAATTTATAAGAGCTCCTAATCCTTCTAAAAAGTCCAGACATTTGAAAAGAGTTGTTTATTACAGCTTAATGATTTGCCCAAGGACTCCGACTGCATTTCCTACTAGAAATTCCTGCAATAAATTTTACATCTTTAAAACAATGTGATTAAAGCATTTTGAAAGTTGGTTTTAAACGATAATGAAATTCTGTACATCTGAGCCTGTAAAATCATTATTCCTTGGAGAACTGTAAGTTACTGTTTGCCATTGAAAGAGGTAATAAACTATTTGTAATGGCACAAAAAGGCTGCTTTGTTTTCCACAAAAATATTTTTACATTTTATGATAATAAAATCTTTTATTCAAAAATTAAGCATGCATGTTATTATTAGCTTCAGTGGGAGCTTCAAAGATTCCTTATTGTTACCTAAAATGGGCAGGAGGGAAATACTTAGGCATAATATTAGTAAACACTCTTAAAATATGCAGGAGAAACAAGAGATGATACTTAAAACTGACAACTGCTGGACCATAGTGCAATGGGCCTTCCTTTCCCATCAGGTAAGGCAGGGAGCAGCTACCACTATAACATCAATTTAGATGGACTAAATGATCCCAAAAAGTCAGAAGTCTTAGCATGACTCTGTCACTGTCCAACATTAAACAGCATTGTGAAGCATGGTCATTTCCCCTGCTTTTGACCATAGTAAAGGTGGGAAAACTACAGCTGTTG